GGTTGGGGGGGGGGGAACAGAATGGGACGACCCCCCCCTCCAAAATTCCCCCCCGGGACAAACACTAACCCATTTTTGTAGGAGGCTCCTCGGTGGCTCTTTTTTGTAATGACTTTTTAAGATAAAACAAGAAAAAAAAAAAAAAAAAGAAGACAAAAATCGTGAAAACTGAAGAAACCAAACCTTTTTTTTTTTTGGATGTTTTTTTTTGAGGGGGGGTTATTTATCTTTACTCCCCCCCCCCCAAAAATGCCCTTGGGGGCTTTTGCCTTTGATTGTATCGTCCTATGTGTTCGGGGAGGGGGCACTGAATGTTTCACCTTTAGTGCTTTATATCATTTTTTTCTCAGCTGGAAGGGTTGGGGGTTGGTGGGGGGCGTTTTTTGGGGTGGGTGGGGTGGCTGTGACCACCCCCCCCCCCATCCCCCAAACCCCCCCCCCATATTGTTTATTTCAGTATCTCTTTTAAAATCAGTTAATAAAAGCATTTAAGCATACAGATGAAATCAATTGTGTGATTGAAAGATTGGCCTTAGAAACAGTAAGTAGCAGATTTCTGCAATGTATGAACTCCTGTTTACATAAGAAAACTAATTATTCTGCTGTTGAATTTAAGGATGAAGTTCTATAGAAGTGTCACAATCTTGGTGAGCTTATTGATACCAAGATAGCTATTATTCAAAGATCAAACAGTGCACCTTCTTCTAAGACAAGTGTGGTGACAGAGGCTCATAACTTCCCCTCAACCCCAACATAACACACAAACCTCTTTCTCTGTCTTCCTACAGAATTGGGGGGGGGGGTTTTTTGGGGGGGGGGGGGGGGTCCCCCCCCCCCCCCAATCCCCAAACCCCCAAACCCCATCCCCTGCCTGTGGCCACCGGCACACGCTCCCCGTCTTGCACGCCACGTTCCCGTTTGGCAATTGTGTGAAAAATGAGCATTAAAGAGGATCATTCCCCGTGGATCTTTGTCTCCTGGGTGCTTTTTTATTTTATTTTATTTTATTTTTTCGGTGGGGGTGTCCCATGGATTTAGGGAGGGGGTGGAAAAGGATGGGTTGGGCTTTGCCTTTGTGGAGGATTTCGGGGTGGTACCACGAGGTTGGGAAAGGGATTTTGGGATTTTTTAGGGGTGGGGGTTGCAGGTGGTGGTGGGAGAGGGGTTGGGGGATTTGGGGGTGTCCAGAGTGTCAGGCGGGGGGGGTCAGAGGGGCC